AGAATAGGAAACAGAGCGACAAGTAGAATACAGTAACAAAAATAGTAGATATTAACCCAACTATATCAATAATCATTTTGAACATCGATAGTCTAAATGCACCAATTAAAAGATAGAGATTGTCAGAGTGGATAAAAAAAGACCCAACTATGTTATCTATAACCAACCCATTTGAAATAAAAGGACACATACAGATTAAAAGTAAATGAATGAAGAAAGATATGCCATGCTAACATTAAACAAAGAAAGAGCAGAAGTAACTATATTTGTTTCAAGACAAAGCAAACTTCAGAGCAAGGAAAGTTATTAGGGCTCAGGAGGGGCACTTTGTAATGATAAAGAAGTCAATTCTCCAAGAAGACAACAATCCTTAATGTGTACAGTGGGTACCTTGGTACTCATTGTTAACTCGTTCTGGACCTTGTGGCAGGTATTGAAACCAACAAATATTGAGCAAGTGATGAGTGATGAAACGTTTTTTCTTGCAGGGCAGCATTGTGACTCACACATATTCTAGCAAGTGTAACGGGTCCCTAGCAAGTGCCCAGTGCTGAAATATTTTTTCTTGTCAAAATGCGACAAGTACAGGGTTTAAACTAATTGCTAAAGTTCTGTGGCACATCAAAAATATATTTTTTGATGACCTGACAAAAAATAGATTTAAATTCAATTCACTTGCATTGGATGGCTGTTGTGTTGACTATTGTCATTTTTTTAAAAAAATTCACAATCTAAGGGAAAAGAGGTCAGTGCCTCTGATTGCATGTTTTAAAAATTCTTGTGGCACAACAGTTGAAAATTGCTGTACAAAATATACAAAGAACTCTTAAAACTTAATAATAAGAGCCCTGGCTGGTATAGCTCAGTGGATTGAGCGCGGGCTGCGAACCAAAGGGTCTCCAGTTTGATTCCCAGTCAGGGCACATGCCTGGGTTGTGGGTCAGGTCCCCAGTGGGGGCCATGTGAGAGCCAACCACGCATTGATGTTTTCTTTCTTTCTTTCTCCCTCCTTTCCCCTCTCGCTAAAAATAAAATCTTAAAAAAAAACAATAATAAGAAAAGCTTAATTAAATAGTGGTTAAAGGTCTTAACACAGGTGACCAAAGAAAATATATAGATATCAAAAAGTACATGATAAGATGCTCCATCTCATAAACAACAATAAGATAACCACCACACATCTATTCAAATGGTCAAAACCCACAATACAGCACCAAATGCTGGTGAGAATTTGTTGTTCCACTTATTTATCCATTCATTGGTTGATTCTGTATGTGCCCTGACCGGGGACCAAACCTGGAACCATGGCATATCAAGATGATGCTCTAACCAACTAGATACCTGGCCAGGGCCTTAAGTGCATATTTTAAGTGAAAGCCAGTGTGAAAAGGCTACATGCTTTTTGAGTTCAACTATTTGACATTCTGGAAAAGGCAAAATTATGGAGATAGTAAAAAGATCAGATTAATAGGGTTTAGGAGAGATGGATAAAATAAGCAGAGCACAGAGAATTTTTAGGGCAGTGAAACTACTCTGCATGATGTTGTAATGATGGGTACATGGTATTATACATTTAGCCAAATCCATAGAATGTACAACATCAGTAGTGAACTCTAAGGTAAACTTTGGACTTTGGGGGATAATGATGTAGGTGTCCTGTGGGGTCCTGTGGCTCAGTGTCTCTGGTCACTTGAGCCGGGTGCTCTGGGGGTGTCCCTTGTGTGGTTCTCTGTGCCTTCCTGTTGTAGTTGAATCTTGATTGCTGTTGGCATGTCTGTCAGTGGGTAAAATTGACTCAGGCTGACTGGCTGAGGAATGGCCATGACTGCTGACGATGAGTTGTTGTGCAGGGGGCTGACTTCATGAAGCTGGATTTGCTTAGTGGAGCTATGGTGTCTGGTGAGTCCACCCTTTGGTTATGTCCTTTGTGGTGTTGATTGGGTTGTGCTCTAGTGTGGTCTGAAGCTGGCCACCAGGTATGTTGGTTCTGGGGCCTTTGGGAGGGTCTCTGATATGGGCCAAGGTCAGCTGCTCCCTGTGCTGGGCTTGAAGGCACCTGGGAGAGGCTAGGGCGTGAACCAAGGCCAGCTGCTGCTGGGTACCAGGTTTGTGACCACTTAACAAGAGGTATGGGACTCTTTGAACCCATCTGTTGTTTTTGTGGGCTTTGTGAACCTTTGAGAGATTTTAGGAAAATCTTTAGTGCTAGCTGAGGAAGGCTGCTTGTGTGGACTAGTTGTTGAAAGAGGTTCCAGCCTGGTGAGCGAGTGGTTGGACCTGGGATCTCAGGGAATCAGCAGGGTGTGGTGAAAGGTGTTGGCCAATTTAATGGGTTGTTCCAACTTTGTGCCTGTGTGCGCCTGTTGGAGAGGGCTCACAAAGGAACAGTGGTGTCTTCTAGCGCTTTCGTCTGGGAAAGACTGCCCTGACCGCTGCCCTCAAGCCCTTTCCTTGAAGCTAGTCCATTCAGCTTCTCCCCTTTGTCTCTGGTGCTTTCTAGGCTGCTGCCCCAGCTCTGGAGCTCAGAGTCAGTGATTTTGAGTGATTGAGTCTGCATGATTCCTTTAAGACCTGAAGCGCCTAGTTTTCTAGTGGTTTCCCCCAACCCCTGACTCCTGTCACCCCCGTCCCCTGCCATTTCCACTTGTTTTCACAGCCAAATATTATGGGCACTTCTTTTCCCAGCAATAGAGTCCTCAGCTGGGGAGCCTAGTGTGAGGCTGGGACCCCTCACTCAGGGGGGACCTCAGCAGCCAAAAGATACTCCCGTTTCTTAGCTGCCACACCATGCGTGTGGGACCTGCTTGTTGCATGTCTCCCCCTTTCCTACCCATCTTGACATGGCTTCTTCATATTCTAGGTTGTAGGAGTTGTGTTCAGATGGTTCTCAATGATGTCTGTTCTGTAATTTGGTTGCAATTTTGATGTGGTTGTGGGAGGAGGCGAGCCCAGCATTTACTTACTCTGCCATCTTTTTTTAAAAAAAGATTTTACTTATTTTTATAGAGAGAGGAAGGGAGGGAGAAAAAGAGAGAAACATTGATGTGAGAGAGACATAGATTGATTGTCTCTCGTACACACCCCAACTGGGACCAAACCTGCAACCCAGGCATGCACCTGACTGAGAATTGAATGGGCAACCTTTCACTTTGGGAGATGACACCCAACCAACTGAGTCATACCAGTCAGGGCCTACCCTGCCATCCTGACTGGAAGCCCTCCCCCTCTGGATTCTTTTTTTTAAATCCTCACTTGATGATATGTTTTTATTGATTTTAGAGAGAGGAGGGGTGGGGGAAGAGGTGAACCTTGATGTGAGAGAGCAACATTGATCCGTTGCCTCCTGCAGGCACCCCTACCGAGGATCAAACTTGCAACCTAGGTATGTGCCCTGACTAGGAATTGAACTTGCAGTGTTTTTGGTGCATGGGGCAACGCTCCAACCAACTGCGCCATCCGGCCAAGATCCCCTCCAGATTCTTAATTGCCATACTATGGGTGCGGAACCTGCCCAGACTGTGTCTCTGCCCCTTCTACCGTTCTGAATGTGTGAGGTAATATGTGAAGTAGGAAAAGGGAGAAGGATGATTGACTTCATTACCCATGGGCTTTGTGAAGTATTGGGATACTGTCCCTCCCTCCCTCCCTCCCTCCCTTCCTTTTTACTTAGCTGGGATATGTAGAAACTAGAAAGCCCTATCTTGTGTTGGTCATTTTCACTACACACACATAAATGATGCCTGGTAAATATGTGCTAGTTTGACTAGTTAGTGGACTGGAGTTCTTCCCAGTGTACTTCAAACATTCCACTTCAGGTATTTTTCTGAAGTTATAAGAACAGTGGGAATGGGTCTTGAACATCATAAGTACTAAAGGAATATTTGCTGATTGATTCATTTGAGTGATCCTTGTCTGAAGCCTTCTCTCTTCTCTACATCAAGGAACATTTTCAGCTCAGTTCAATATAAGGATGTATTGCATGACTTAATGTACTGAGACTTGGGTGTGCTTTTGTATGGCTACAAAATACTTGACCCCAAACTCAAAAAGAATTTAGTATTATTCTAGAGCAGTGGTTTTCAACTGGGGGCAGTTTTTGTTCCCCAGAGGACATTGGACATTATCTGTAGACATTTTGGTTGTTGATTCTGTTTGGAAGCTACTGGCATCTAGTGGGTAGAGGCTAGGGATGCTGCTAAACATCCCCTCCACCCCAAACAGAGAATTAGCCCAACACATCAGTAGTACGGAGGTTGAGAAACTCTGATCTGAAAGTTCAAGGCTGACAAATAGAGTCAGAACTTTGAGGTTGGAGGGCCAGACTGCTAGTTAAAAGCAGAGCTGTCACTAAAGCTTAGCTCACCGTAGTATAATGTTCTGCCTGCTGTCATGGGGGCCGTTTAGAGTCAAATGGCATTATATGATGATACTTTATTTAGCTTCACTCCTATTAATCTGGATTTATACTTTTTGCTATAGCCATACTCAATTTTTTGTGTGTTTTGTAACTTTGTATTCATGTTAGCCCCTTTCCTGAAACATACTTCTCTCACTTCGTTATCTGAATAACATTTCACATCTCCTCCAGGAAGTTTTCACTAATCTGTTACATCGCAGGATGAATTAGAAGCCACCTCTTTATTCTTCCATAGGTAGTCTTTAGCATCTCATAAAAAAAGTTTCTGTTTTTATGTCCACCTTTCTCACTAGGCTGTGAGAATTGGGTTCATTCTTGGGAATTAGGTTCATTCTTGTCTCTTCATTGCCTAGCATAGACATGCAAAACAGTGTTAGTCATAGACATGAGCCAAAGTACCTGGGGATTTGGGAGAAGGGAGAGATCACTGGGGATTAGAGTACTGGCGAAGGCTTCATAGAGACTGTGACTCTTGACACTTCCTATAATTCCTTCAAGATATTGATGAATGTGTGAGCACTTTATTTTGGGCAGGGACAGTTTTAAGACAGTAATGGGTGTTTCTGGTTGTATCTTTCTACAGGTTGATATGTCACACCTCTCCCCAGAGGAGCAGTGGAGGTAAGTGTGACAGTGTGGGCCCCCAGGCTGGGAACCATAAGTTAATCCAACTAATAGAGTTGCATATCAGCCCTTTTTTGCTTCCTTGTCTATGGGAGGCAGTGACTCATGACCAGTAGGATAAGTCTTTTGGGACTTTTTTCTAGTACCTGGGTCACTTCTGAGTAATACATAATTGTACCAAATTCATCCACCTGGGTTTGAATACTAGTTCTACCATTTCCTAACTATGTGTGGGCAAGTTACTTAATTTCTCACTGCCTTCGTTTTCCTCATTTGTAAAATGAGGATCAAAAAAGTGCCTATACCTGATAGAGTTGTTGTGAAGATTAATATATGTGAAATTCTTTGAATAGTGCCTGGCATGTAGTAAGCTTCCAGTAAATATTACCTGCTTTGATGATGATTACCATTATTATCATATCATTATCCACAAAACGGGAGCAGGCTCTGACTGAGAAAACAGGAGATGTGCTTCTGATCTCAACTTGCTAGTCACTCGCGGTGTAACCGGAGCAGGTCAGCAAATATCTTATTGTCATGATTTCTAATTACTAAAGGTGTTTCGGTGTGCTTGTCCCGCAAACTTCACACGTTGGCTGACCAATGAGCTGAAATCAACCAAATAAAATGTAATAATGAGAAAAAAATCCTTCTTTAAAATTAAAACTATTGATTGTAAATATATAGAATGGCAAAGGTATGAACTCATATGACAAACTCAGGGAGATTTTAGACGACTTTAAGGTTAATATGCACCAGTTTTATATCTAAGCTGCTGAAATAATTCAGGTAATTTGGAAGATGTTCGTAGGTTTCTATTTACGCCATCCGCCTTAAGGGAGGGACAAAGCCCTTGGTCTCCACTGTGCGGAGGCCACACTCAGTGTTGTAAATGCTGCCTTATATGAAGATCTTTAGCTAGATGACATTTAGAAAAGGGCAGCTAGGATTAATGGTCTTCACATTGTCTTATATGAGTAGTGTTTAAAAGTTCTAGAACTTGTAATTGAACAACAATTTTAAAAAAGCTCTAGCCCTGACTGGTTTGGCTCAGTTTACTGAGCACTGGCCTGCGAACCAGAGGGTTTCTGGTTCAATTCCCAGTCAGAGCACACGCCTGGGTTGTGGGCCAGGCCCCCAGTAGGGGGCATGAGAGGTACTCACACATTAATGTGTCTCTCCTTCTCTTTCTTCTTCCCTTTCCCTCTCTTTAAAAATAAACAAATAAAGCTCTAGAACTAAAACGGCCAGGAAAATGGTGTTAGGTACAGTATAATTTAAAAAAAAAAAAGAGCATGAGAAATCGTTGAAGGGGCAGCATTGGGAAAGTGGAGTGAATACGTCCTTTATTGTTCCAGGTATAGGTTTAAGTCCAAGGCATTGAGGCTGTAGGAAGATAGATTTTTATCTCATTATTAGAAACTTCTTTAATAGTCACGAGAGGTATATTGAGAGGTAGAGTACCTTCTGCCTCTTATTTCTTCATAAGCACCCGTGAGCATCTACAATGTGTCAGAGGCTGCTGACACACTTCTAGACTGGAGTGCCTTCAGAGGCATATATTCTCAAGCCAACAGAAGTATTCAAAGGATATCAAAAATAAGTTTTGAATTGAGTGGGAATGGGAAATAGATGACTTCTCTGGTCTTTGTTCTAGATCCTTTCTTTCATTGTTGTGCACACCCATTCAGTTACACATCGTCTGAGAACAAGAAACTTATTTGTTATCTTTATAACTCCCCAGTCCTTGGGTTATTAAAGTGTTACCTCTCCTTTAATTTAGCTCATTCTCACAACACCCCTATGAGGAAGGCAGAAAAGATATGGACTGCTTTTGACAAATGAAGAAGTTGCAATGTAGAGATGTTCATTTTCTTGGCCAAAGGCCACAGAAGTATGTCTGAAACGTACAGTTTCTGACTCTAACCCATTATCTTTTTGTCAGATATTCCCACTAAGGATAGTGTTTTACGTAAAATGAACCCTTAGCTGCTGTGGCTGGCTGGCTTGCTGGCTGGCTCACTGACATTGGCTGCAGAAGAAAAAAGTGCACAGTGAACACCCTACACTCATCACCAAGATTCTACAGTTAACTGTTTGCTTTATCGTTTATCTATGATTCGTCCCACTGGGTTCTTCTTATCTTTGGGAATTCCATGAAGTTACCATTTATGCTCTCCTTTCCTTCCCTCCCTAATACTCCTATGTATGAAAAGTCTGTATAAAACCTCCTAACTACAAGCTACGTTAGCATTTAGTTTTGTCTAACTTCTTCTTCATTCTTTTCCCTTAGCTGGTTCTTGACCTAGAGTGGTAGAAGTAACTATTCTCTGTTCTTAGAGAAAGCTTTCTGCTTTTATTGGCCAAGGAAGTAGCCTGCTGCCAGTCCTCAGGACAAGAGAATGCTGGCCTTAGATTAAATAAGAGTTTCTAGTTGTAGTGTTCTTGAGTCCTTGAGGAGGCTGTTTACCTGTGGATGTTAGTGGTGGAATTACTCCCGAATTACTATCAAGTCAAAGCAGTCCAAATTTTTCAGGCTGTAACTAGTCTTCAGGATCCCTGTCCTGACAGAAAGGGTAAGACCAAAAAAAAAAGCAAAACTTTAACCCTGGAATTAGCATGTGTTTGCAGTGTTACTCCTTTATTGGTATCATAAATACCATTGACTACGAGTATGAGACTTTATGGCTTTAATCTTCTCGGGTTACTTTTTCCTTCCAGTAACAGGTTGAAGTAGGTCTGAAATGGGCAATGGCATAGGCTTCTCCTGGGATTTCTCTCCTGTTATAGGAAAGGTGTCAGCTTTATTTGCCATTGGGGGCAGGCAGCAGACCACCCACATTTAACCCAGTAGCTGAGCTTGGTTATTTCGGCCCACAGAACTCCTATTCTATGCCAAAATGCCTGTCCTCTAAGGCATGTGTATTTCTAGCCCCTAATTTGCATAGTGCCCTGAAGCTGCAAAGCACAAGAATGGTCTGAACTATGGACTGGTAGCATATCCCTGGGAAGCACTGCCCCTTCACCACCACACCATCCCTGACCTGGCTAACCCCATCTGTTTGGCTTTCAGGGTCGAGCATGCACGCATGCATGCCAAGCACCGTGGTCACGAAGCCATGCATGCTGAAATGATCCTCATCCTCATTGCCACCTTGGTGGTGGCCCAGCTGCTCCTGGTGCAGTGGAAGCAAAGGCATCCCCGCTCCTACAATGTAAGCCATTTTCACACTGTTTCTCCTCTTTGTCAGCCAGTAAGCAAGAAATCCTTCCTAAGTATTCTAGGATCTTGCCTAGACCAAACCACATGTAGGCAGAGAATGGGCAATAATAATGAACTTTACATATGAATGGTGAATAGTGTATGGTGAATGTGTGTTTAAGGTGTAATTAATTCAGAGGATGAAAACAGGGATAGAACCTGAGACCACTTTTATGGCCAGAAAGGGTAGGCTCTTTCTTTTAAATATTCATTAAATATTTGGGACATATTCATGAAGGAAATATTCAATAGGAACTATTGAAATAGAGGGAGAAGTGATCACTTGCTTGGGAAGATCAAGCCTCTAATAAATCTTATAGGTAGGATTTACTTAATTTTTTTGAAAAGGCAGTAATGAAGGATGTAACAAAAATATATAAAAAATACAAAGAACATACTCCTAAATGGCAGAAGTAAATCCTTCCTTATCAGCAATTACTTTAAATGTAAATGATTAAATTCTATTAAAAGGTAGAGATTAACAGGTTGGATTAAAAAACCTCAGGAGCCATCTATATACTGTCTGTAAGAGATTCACTTTAGATACAGACACACAGATTGAAAGTAAAAAGATGGAAAAAGATATTCCATATATGACAACAAATTGGACATCCTAGAAGAAATGGATGCATTTCTAGAAAAATACTATCTTCCAAGTCTGAATCATGAAGAAATAGCAATGTGAATATACTGATTACTAGTAAAGGGATTGAATCAGTAATTAAAAAACTCCCCCAAAACAACAGTTCAGGACCAGATCATTTCCCTGGTGAATTCTGCCAAACATTCAAAGAAAATGTTAATAGCTATTCTCAAACTCTTCCAAAAAATTGAAGAAGAGGGAATGTTCCCAAACTCATTTTTGAGGCCAGCATTATACACTGATACCAAAACTAGACAAGAACACTACCAAAAAAAACCCACAGGCCAACATTGTTGACTAATTTAGATGCGGAAATCTTTAGCAAAATATTAGCACATCTAATTCAAAAGTAAAGTGAAAAGATTATACATCATGATCAGATGGGATCTATTCCAGAGAAGCAGGAATGGTCCAGCATCTGCAAATCAATCAATGTGATATGCCATATTAACAAAATGAAGGATAAAAGTTACCATCTCCATAGATACAGAAAAAGCTTCTGACAAAATTCAATATCTGTTTATGATTTAAACTCGCAACAAAGTGGGTGTAGAAAGAAAATACCTAGACAAAATAAAGAACATGTATGACAAACATTATATCAATGGTAAAAAGATGAAAACTTTCTCAATCAGGAAAAATACAGGTACGCCCATTCTCTCCATTTTATTCAACTAGTATCGGAAGTCTTAGATATAGCAGTTAGACAAGAAAAAGAAAAGGCATATAAATTGGAAAGGAAGCAGTAATACTGTTATTATTGGCAGATGACATGATACTATATGTAGAAAACCCAAAAGACTACCAAAAAACTGCTAGAAGTATCAAATAAATTCATTAGAAGTAGCAGGATATAAAAATTAATATATAGAACTCTGTGATGTTTCTAGATATTAAAAACAAACTATCAGAAAGAAATTAACAATCCCATTCATAATTGTGTCAAAGAAGATAAGCTACCTAGGAATTAATGTAACCAAGGTGGTAAAGACCTGTACACTGCATACTATAAGATATTGATGAAATAAATCAAAGAAGACACAAATAACCGGAAAGATACTCTGTGATCATGGATTGGAAGAATTAATATTATTGAAATGTCAATGTTAGGCAAAGCAACCTACAGATTCAGTGCAACTCCTTACAAAATTCCAGTGCCATTTTTTACAGAACTAGAACAAATAATTCTAAAATTTATATAAAATTACAAAACATCCTGAGCAGCTAAAGCAGTCTTGAGAAAGAAGAACAATATTGAGAAAAGAACAAAACAAAGAAGAACAAATCACACTCATTTATTTTGAATTATACTATAAATCTATAGTAATCAAAACATTATGGTATTGGCATAAAACAGATCCTCAGATCAATGGAACAGAATTAAACCCACACATATATGGACAATTCATTTACGACCAAGGACCCAAGAACTTACAATGGAGAAAGGTCACTCACTTCAGTGAATGGTATTGGGAAAATTACACTGTCACATGAACAGAATGAAACTAGACCACTGTTTTATACCATATACAAAAATTAATTTTAAATGAATTAATTTAATTTTAAATTAATTTTAAATGAATTAAAACCTGAAACCATAAAATTCCTAGAAAATAACATAGTCAATGAGCACCTTAATACTAGTCTTAGAAATGTTTTTTGTGGATGTGATTTAAAAGACAAGGGAAGCAAAAATAAAAATAAATAAATGGGAGTACTTCAAACTAAAATGTTTCTGCATAGCAAAGGAAACCATCAATCAAATGGAAAGGCAGTCCAGTGAATGGGAGAAGATTCTCGAAAAACTCACATCTGATAAGGGGTTAATATTCAAAATAAGTGAAGAACTCACACAACTCAATAACATGAAAACAAACAGGCCATTAAGAAATGGGCAGAGGATCTGATTAGACATTTTCCAAAGAAGACATACAAATGGCCAGCAGGCACATGAAAAGATACTCAGCGTCACTAATTATTGGGCAAATGCAAATCAAAACCACAGTGAGCTATCACTTCATACCTGTTAGGACAATGACTGTTATCAAAAAGACAAGAAATAACAAGTGTGGGAGAAGATATGAAGACAAGGGAACCCTTTTACACTGTTAATGGAAATGTAAACGGGATGCAGCCACTCTAGAAACAGTAAGCAGATTCCCGAAAAAAAAGAATACAGTGACCCATATGACCCCGCAATTCCATTTCTGGGTATTTATCTGAAGAATACAAAAACACTGGTTTGGAGAGATGTACACATTCCTATGTTTATTGCAGTACTATTTACAATAGCCAAGATACGGAAACAATGTAAGTGTGCATCTACAGATGAGTAGATAAAGAAGATGTAGTACATATACTCGTATACACAGTGGAACACTACTTAGTCATAGAAAAGCTGAAATCTTGCCATTTGCAACAACATGGATAGACCTGAAGGGTAGTATTGTGCTTATATCACTTATAAGTAGTGTAAGTGGGGTGGAGAAAGACAAATATTATACTATATAATTTTACTCATGTGGAATCTAAAAACCAATGAATAAACAAAGGACAACAAAAACAAACTCATACAGAGAACAGGTTGGTGGTTACCAAAGAGAAAGGGGTCTGGGGGTGGGTGAAATTGTGGGAGGGTCAGTTGTATGTACCCTTTCAGGTTGGGTATCACTGGCCCCTCTGCTTCCTCCTTAGGAACCTCTGTAAGACATAGAGTGTTAGGAAATCAGTTGTGGCATTCACGAGTTAATCCTTAACAGGAAGTATGGCTGTAGCCTAATGAGGCTGGTTGTGTAAAGAACATGCATAGTTACCTCCTTACTTCACTGCCATGCCCTGTAAACATTGTTCTGAACTTCACTGGTAAAAGGAGATGCAAACACTATGGCACACTGAGAAATTTAAACCTATGTGTTTAGAAATTTAGCAAAGGAAATCTTTAATTTTTTGCTTTGTGCTGCTGTCAACAATCTGTATTAGTTTTGTTAAAATTTCTGTTGTGCACAAGAATGTTGTTAGTGCTTTAATTAAAATACTAACTTTGGGAAAAGAAAAATTGCCCAAGATGCCTGTACCCAATGGCATCTCCTATCCTTTTTCAAGCTTTTCAGAAGTTGAAGCGGTTTGCCTTGGAGACGGCGTAATTCAGTGGAGTCAGACCAGTGTAGCTCCAGCAGCCAGCTCTCCCATTTCCTAGCTATATTTTATATGTCTCTGAGCCTCAGTGTTTCATCTCTAAGTTGGGTTATGGAGATGATATAAAATTGTATGGCAAAATGTTTTGTAAATACTAAAGCTAACGTTGGTAACTATTACCGTCACTCCTAAGAGAAAAAACTCAAGACAAAAATATCTCCAGGTGCTGTTTTAGGTCAAAAAGGAATATGAATTATTTTTGAGGACAAATTCACATAAAATACACTATATTAACCATTTTAAGTATATAATTCGGTGGCTTTTAGTATATCCACGATGTTGTGCAACTATTGCCACTAGTTACAGAACATTTTCATTACCTTGCAGGAAGTGCTGTACCCATTAAGGAGTCGCTCCTTATTTTTCTCTCTCACCAAACTCTGGCACCACGAATCTACTTTCTATGTATTTGCCTCTTCTAGATATTCACATAAATCAAATAATACAATATGTAGCCTGCCATTTTTCATGTAACATAATTTGTGTCTGACTTCTTTCATATAGCATGTTTTCCAGGTTCATCTATGTCGTAGTATCTGTCAGTATTTCTTTCCTTTTTGTGGTAGGATAATGTTCCATTGGGTGGATATACCGTGTTTTGCTTATGCATTTATCAGTTGATGGACATTTGGGTTGTTGCCATGTTTTTTGGCTATTGTGAATAGTGCTGCTGTGAACATTCATTATAAGTTTTCATTTGAACATCTAATTTCAATTCTTGGATATATCCTGGGGTAGAATTTCTGGGTCATACATAACTCTATGTTTAACTTTATGAGGAACTGCTAAATGATTTTCCATAGTAGCTGCATCATTTTACATCCTAATCCACAATAGGTTCCAATTTCCCCACACTCTCACCAAAACTTACCTCTCTCTCTCTTCTAATTATAGCCATTCTAGTGGTAGGAAGTAGTACTTCATTGTAGTTTTGATTATATTTCCCTAATGACTAATGATGTTGAGCATTATTTGTTGTATTTATTGGCCATTTGAATATCTTCCTGGGAGAAATATCTATTCAAGTTTTTTGTCCATTTTAATGGAATTTTGTATTTTTTTTGTTGTTGCATTTGTGAGAGTCCTTTTTAAGTTTTATTTTTAAATTACAGTTG